TAGGAGCAGCATCATACTGCCATGTCGCTGAACTATGTTTCTAAATGCCGAATCAGAGTGAATCTTCCTTTAGAACGTGGACATGTACATTTCCATCTTTTTTGTGTTTATTGCATGTGAAGTGCACCGCGGCCCCTAATCAGAATGCGTATCATCCCCAGATGTGAAATGAGTCGAGAGAGGTGTGAGTCGAAGGCAGAATAGGGCGAGTGAGGGCATATTCATACGAGGACTTGTTCTATTAGGCTCTGGACATGATTTCAATCAGGTTCATCCAGGTCAGGGCGTAGTTGCAGTCAGATACATCTACGGAAGTGTGAGTACGCTCTGAGAGACGGGAATGACAGACAATGACAGCAGAAAAGGAAGAGGGCCGATGGAGAGCGGCGGCGGGTCGGGGGGAGAGGGAAGGAACAACAGGGATGGTAGGCGAGAGGAAAGAGAAACGGGGCCGGAAATCCGGGGGCACAAAGGATAAAGAGGGAAACGAGAGACAGGACGACAACTAGAGGGACAGGGAAGCGGTGGAGGAAAGGAGGATGAGGGAGAGTGGACGAAAATAGGAGGGGAAGAGGAGACAGCGAGGAAAGGAAAAAGAGAGGAGCGAACGGGAAGAGAGGGGGTGAAGAGCATCTGACGACGAGGAGACACGAGGAAGAGAGGGAAGTGGAAGACAGACGGAGTCAAGCAGCACAACCATGGAGTCAGTAGGGAAGAGAGTGAAAGGGAAAGGGGAAAGAAAGGAAGCGGGGTAAGCCACAGCAACGGCCAGCATGATGTAGTCATTATCGTCTGTCTCAACCCATGTGTCACTCTCAGTCAATCGATGCACCACGAGCACCCACAGGTTATGGTCGGCAGAAACTCAGGGGGCGAAAATCGACTTGCTTATTCCGCACGACGATCTACATGGAGAAAAAGAAATAGCAACTCACCTACTGAACTACTCCCCCATCTGCTGTGTCTTCTACTTATTTCCAACTCAGTCGAAACTAGAACCACTAAACACACGTCCGGACTCAGGATTGCAAAGCATGCAGCGCAGCAAGAGTGGCACGGTTCATTATGATCTGGCCACCCGGAGGAGTATGGTAAGGGTTAAATACTGGCAGAGCAGAAGACTACTCAGATAAGAAAGTCCCGTCCTTTTTCACCCTGTTACTGACGGAAGAACTACAACAACCGCCCTCCATTCCCTCCTTCTGTCCTGAATCTTCTCCACCATTGCTCTCTTACGATCGGCAAAGGCCAGAGTCGCAGCAATCGGCTCATCTCTTCTTTGTTGCGATGGCTGGCAACTTCCTTTTTCCGCCTTACCGCGCCGCGAACTCCATGATTGATCCAATCATATGTATTCCTCTCGAAAGCTGGCAGAAAGGGGGGAAAAAGAGAATTATTGATCTTTGAGAGGTGCAGATGCACAGCCGTACGTACACACAGATCACGCACTCATGGATCGGATGCACGGCCTTTGTGACACTGGTCGTCACGCCACCAGCAGATACAAAGACTGTGGACAGAGCAAAGAATACATAGGAGGAAGAAGAGGGGTTCGGTAAGATGCAACCCTTTTGTTAACAAAGCAAACAAAAAAAAGGGGGGATGGATGAAAGACACGGGAAGCAAATACAGTATAATTTACTACGCTACTAGAAATGCTAGTCCTCCTAGGGACGACAGCAGTTAGGTGCGGAGGAGGGGGGGCACGGAGGGGAAGGAGGACAGACAATCACTCTCGTTTTTAGTGGAAACGTCAACGCCATGTCACAAGACACAGCGGGTAGGGAAGGGGGGGAAGGAGGAGGAGGGAAGGAGGACAGACAATCACTCTCGTTTTCGGTGGAAACGTCAACGTCATGCCACAAGACAGTACGGGTAGGGACGGGGGGAAAGGAGGAGGAGGGAGGGCGTCACGGGTAATGTTTTACGGTCGGTATGCGGGGTAGGGGAGGGGGTGTGGAGGAGCGGTGTAGGGTCGTGGTGAGGAGGGGTTGGGTTGGCGTGTGGAGGAGCGGTGTAGGGTCGTGGTGGGGGAGGAAGAGGAAGCGAAGAGAAGAGATGAGAGGCAGACCGGGGGGGGAAGGGGGGGAAGGGGGGGAAGGGGAGAAGAGGTGGAGTGATGAGGACAGAGAGAGGACAGAAAGAGGTGGAGAATTGAGTCGGAAGAGGGAGGCATAGGTACGGACATGAGTTGCATATCATGTGTGACTTGCATCTACTTCAGGTTATGGTGTGGTTCGAGGAGAGCGGAGAAGAGGTCAGCAGGTGGGTTCTACCTCTGCATTGCGATCAGGACCAAGGTCCACGTTGCGCATTGCATGAAGGCTTTCGGTTGACCGTGCCACCATGACTGAAGGTGAGGAAAGCCGCCTCCGTTTTTGTTTCGTTTCCGTCGAGTTTCTGCTCCTTTGGTTCCTGTGCTGTCTCTCTCGATCGGACGATCGATCACCGCGGCAAGGCTCACACACACAGAGAGAGAGAGAGA